AGACTGTTCAACTCATCCTTGTTTCTCTCCGAAGGCATCTCTTTGAGACTCTCATACATCTCGTGTCTTCATATTAGTGAATTCTCTGTTACTACATCAAAACTTACTATCAGCTCCAAACATAATCGAAACGTGGTACAGCAGAGAGCAAAAATGGATCTCGGTTTTGAACTTCTTGAAACAATTCAAATTCAATTCAATTCAATTCAGTTCTACTATTTTCTCGAAGATTTCGCTTTCCCTGACCTTCTAGAAACATAACGTCAACTTCAAACAATACGATTTGCCACTTTTTGAGAACCACAAATATACTTTGGTTCCAGAAATTAGGGGCCGTCGAGTGCAGACCACACACCACAAGTGACGACGGCCTCACAAAATGTAAATGTTTTCTGCCAATGAAATGATTAGCCTGTTGCAGTTGTATTCTATCAGTTGTCACTAATTACAACTATCATTTACCAAATTATCACTATCATGAACAACTTCTAGCTATCACTATGAATCAATAGTTACCAGATTTAAGTAGAGTACAGTTCTAGGAGGCAAAAGGTACAAACTCTGCTGCTGCTCAACGATGTTTGAGTGCGTAGGTGCACAAGCGCGGCAGCGAAAAAGTCAGAAATCATTGATTAATTCTTGCACATTTTCTTCCTCTAGACTATTTCGTGAACTTCTTCTGATAGGTTTGACAGGCGAGTATGAGAATGCGAAACTCGTCCTTTAATGTCTAATTGTCATCTACCTTGAAAATTACTATCTGGTACTAATCGATTAGCTTCCCGATCTATTGCCACCCTATTATCAAATTTTTTAATTGATCAATCAAGTCCGGCACAGCAAAGAAAAAGCAACACGCCCAGCGGAAGTCGTGCCGAACCAATCTATTCAGTGGGTGGGATAGAGTAGCCTGCGAATAGAACAGAGTGCCATTATCGCGGCTCGAATGTGCGCAAAAATGGCGCCAGGGTCTTACAAACTCTCATTTTATGACTAACCCTAGCATT